ATTTGGAAGAATATTTCATCTCTGATAATGACATGTTGTTGTTGTTGTTAAGTGCCATCGAGTCGGTTCCGACCCATAGCGACCCTGTACAGGGTTTCCGAGGGTGTAAATCTTTACGGGAGTAGAAAGCTAAATATGTTGAAGCTAAAGTGAACATGTTCTTTTATACTCTTTCTGCCATGTTTTCAGTTCAGTGAAGGAAGGTGGGAACACAGCAAACTACAATGTATGTGTTGTCTGGCATGTAATAAATACTTAGTTGTTGTTGTTAAGTGTCGTCAAGTTGATCCTGACCCATAGCAACCCTGTATAGGGTTTCCAAGGAGCAGCTGGTGAACTTGAACCACCAGCCTTGCAGTACAAACGACTTTGCAGTCTGATGCATTACCCCCAGCGCCATACCAGGACTCCAAATACTTAGTAAATATTTGTAAAATGAATTCCTTTGTGCATTTCAAGTAATGTATAGAAACTGAATATTGAATTTTAGATAAATTCTACTTTTTCTAACATTATACCTTGAGCATACCTCCAAAGTTTTGACATTTATTTCTTTGTATTCTAATTGCATCACCATGACCTGCAAGTTCCTGTGTATTTCCAACTCTTAACATAACTTCATAAATATGATTGAAGTACAGTGATTGAAATGCTTTTACAAACAAAAAGTTAAGCTTTCGCCTTTCGGTCAGATGTATATTTCAAAGGTAAATTTATTTTAAAAATAATAGCATTTATTTTCTTGGAATTTTATTTCAAATGGTACAGAAAAAGACAAAAGAGTTTTCAGTAAAAAGTAAATATCTCTTCCTCTTTTCCGTTACCTCATTCTTCTCCCAAGGGTCTCTATATTAGTTATCTACTGCTAATAATGCTGTGTAACTATCGGCCACAAAACTTTGGTGTCGTACAACAACATTATGGATTCAGCTAGCCTGGGGCAGGCTGATTTATTCATCTGTGGTCTGGGGCACGTGCTTATACATTGGTGGTAAACTATGGGTCAATCAAGCAAGTCTGTTAGACTCACATATCTGAGGATTATCTGGTTAATCTAGGATGGTTTCATCTGCTCCACTGGGGTGATTTGGCTTTGTTCCACAGGTTTCTCATCATCCAAAGGCTAGCCAGAACATATCCTTCTCATGGAAATTACCTGATAATTGCAGAGGGCCAGACCAACCACACATGTACCTTTCAAGTATCTGCTTTTATCGCATTTGTTAATACTACATTGACTAAATCAAGTCACATCACTGAACCTAATGTGCACTGCAAAGTACATGGCTATAGGGAGGGGTGAAGAATTCAGGTCACTGATGTACTCTGTCATACCTTTTTTCCAGTTTCTAAACATGTATCGGCATCCTGGTGTGGCACTGTAGGTTAATGCACTGGACTGCAAGGTCTGTTTGAACCACAAGGTTGGCGGTTCAAAGTCACCAGCCACTCCTTGGAAATCCTATACAGGGCCACTATAAATCGGAACTGACTCAATGGCACTTGACAACAACAATAATAAACATAAACAAACTCTTGTTGTTGTTGTTAGGTGCCATCAGGTCAGTTCCACCTCATAGCGACTATGCATAACAGAATGGAGCACTGCCTGGTGCTGCCCCAGCCTTACAATCATTGTTACATTTGAGCCCATTGCTGCTGCCACCGTGCCAATCCATCTCATGGGGGGTGGGGGGGGAGTCTCCCTCTTTTTTACTGACCCTCTGCTTTATTAGGCATGCTGTACTTCTCCAGGGATTGGTCCTTCCTGTTTGAAGTATGAGGGACAAAGTCTCACTATCCTGGCTTCTAAGGAGCACTCTGGCTGTACTTCTTCCAACATAGATTTGTTTGTTCTTCTGGCAGTCTGTGGTACTTTTAATATTCTTCTCCAACACTATAACTCAAATGCATCAATTCTTCTAGTGTCTACCTCATTCACTGGCCAACTTTCACATGCATATAAAGCACTTGAAAATACCACAAATTGGATTTTGTTGTTCAAGTAGATAATAGGTAGCAAATACCTACATGTATTAGAAAAACTAAAAATTAATGATAATTTGCCCCATGTAGTATTTACTTGTTAATACATTATTTCTTATCATCAGATTTATCCTCCTGAAGATGATGAAATCAGGGAATCTTAAACTATAGTACCCCTTCACCTCAAGCTGGATGAGCTTTCTTAGTTATTTAGTCCCAGAATGGCTTCAACAGAGGAACAGGATGGATTTTAAATTGTGAAGATGGGGGGAAACCTTATCTGGGACAAAGAAACTTACCTTGAAGAGAACAGCTTTTCTGGCCAGGAGAATTTCCACCAACTTTTTAGACAGTTTTGTTACTCCTGGTCCCCGAGAAGCACTGAGCCGACTTTGTGAGCTTTGTTATTAGTGGCTCAGGCCAGAAGCGCACACCAAGGAGCAGATCCTGTCTCTGGGTGATCCTCTCCAGCCATTTCAATTAGTGCCTGTTTCATTCCTCCTTACATTACACTGCCATTCTTTGAACATGTGTGCTTGATATGGGCCTTTGTATTCCCCATCTTGTGGTTGTATTATTTTATATATAAAAAAGAGATGATATTGCTTGGTTAATTTATTATTCCAGGTGGTGAAAGTATGCCTGAAAACCAGGATTTGTCATGAAAGCAAGAAATTGCAAAAGAAATAAAATGTTTTGGGGACATATCTAGCAGACTCCAAGATATTCCTCTGGATTCTAAATACAGAAAAACTTGCAGATGCAAGAGCAAGGCAGAAAAGCAGCAGGGATGCTGCACTGGAGATAAACATTATAGTGTAAGAAATGTGGGAAAAGCTTCACTCAGAGTTCAATCCTCATTCAGGACCAGAGAATCCACACTGGAGAGAAGCCATATGAATATGAAGAGTGTGGGAAAGCCTTCAGCCAGAGGTCGTCTCAATGAACGTTAGTGGAACCACACTGGAGAGAAACTCTATCAATATAATGAGTGTGGGAAAGCCTTCAGTGCCAATAATAGCCTTATTTGACACAGAAGAATCCACATAGAGGAGAAACCATACGAATGTGAAGAGTGTGGGAAAACCTTCTGCCTGAGTTCAGATCTTGTTCAACATCAATGGATACATAATAGTGCGAAGCACCATCAGTGTGAAGAGTGTGGCAAAGCCTTCAGTCAGAATGCAGGGCTCTTCCAGCATCTTCGAATTCACACTGACAAAAAACTCTTATCAGTGCTGTCAGTGCAGTAAAAGATTTAGTAGAATTTATCTAAATACTTTACTTCTTATGAAACATCAGCGATGTCATACTGTAGAGAGGCCATATGAGTGTGACAAGTGTGGGAAAGCCTTCAGCCACCATTGTATCCTCATTAGGCATTTTAGGATTCATACTGTTTGTTGAAGTGAACTAATTCCACTGACTTTCTGAAGACCTTTAAATGGGACCTTCTAGGATAATAAGATTCACAAGTGGCTAATTCTGCTCTTATCCAACTTATTTTGCTTTACAATGAGTAGCTGGTGTCTGTTGGGTGGATGACTGGGTATGAGGTATTGCTGGGCAGCCATCCAGTCCCTATCCCTTCATTCTTTTCTATGGATTTTCCTTAGAGACCAAATCTTATTTGGAAATAAATTGGTATTAAAGGGCTACTCTTGACTAATGCTGCTCTCATTGAGCTTACATTTTAGCGTGTGTGTGAGGTGGGGGAGAAAATAAACAAGTAAATATGTAATGTGTCAGATGGCAATAATTTCTATGATAAAAAAATAAAGTAGAATAAGAAAGATAGACTGTGCCAGAATGGAGGTGGAGGGAGTTACCATTTTATGTAGGCAGATCAAGAAACCAGAAGGGAGGGAGCTACACAGATGTCTGAGTAAGGACATTCCAGGCCGAGACCAGCAAATATAAAGGCTACGAGGTGAGATGGTGCTGGCCATGTTTTAAGAACAGTATGGAGGCCAACAACTCTTTGCAAGAATTTTGCTGCAAAGGGATCAGAGATATGAATTAATAGATGGAAGAAAATGTTAAATCAAGGAACTTTGTTTTTAAGATAGGAGTTAGAGTGTGTTGATGGAAATGATCTAATAGGAGGGGAAACTGAGCCTAAAACAAGGGCAAATCTCTAGAGCTCCTCTGCCTCAGAAATAATGGTGAGTCTAGGACCTAGCCCTGTGTGGTGGGAGGAGTGGGCAGGGTTGGGTGTTTTCTGGTCTGGCCGTTCCAAGATATGTAGCTACCAGATTCTTTATCTATCACTAGAACAAAAAAACAAAAAAAACACCCACTTAACTCACCAGTCGCTCCTTGGAAATCCTATATGAGGTTCCCTATGAGTTGAGACCAACTCAACAGCACTTAGCAACAACCAAACACGTGATGAATAAATAGTTCATGAGAAGTATCAGATCTGAGTGTGGAACATATACATCTATCACTCTATTGCACTTGGCTTACATTTCTACCACCAAAAACAAACTAGTTGATGAGTTGATTCCAGCTCATCGTGACCCCATGTGTGCAGCATAGAACTGTACTCCATAGTATTTTCACAACTGTGAGCTTCCAAAAGCCTTTCTTTTGAGTTATCTCTGGGTGGGTTCAAACTGCCAGTCTTTCTGTGCCACCTTGTTGTTGTTGTTAGTTGCCATCAAGTCAGTACCAACTCATAGCGGCCCTATGAACAGCAGAACGAAACACTGCCCAATCATGGGCCAACCTCACTACTGTGCCACCTACAGTTATGCAAGTAACAGACATTTCTGTTAAAACAACAGAAGCCTGACCATGTACCTTCCATCCAGGACTGGACTGTAAATGTTAGGAAGTGAAAGAAGGTAAGGAAACATGGCTAATACGTCAAGAAATAAGGTAGGTCTGGCTTCTATCTAACCTCTATAACAACTCAACAATACTTGCTGTTGTTAGGTGCTATCGAGTCGGTACCGACTCATAGCGACGTTATGCACAGCAGAACAAAACACTGCCTGATCCTGGACCACACTTCAGTCCACTGACGCTGCCACTTGGCCAATCCATTTCATTGGGGGTCTTCCTCTTTTTCTCTGACCCTCCACCTTACCAAACATGATATCCTTCTCCAGTGACTGGTCCCTCCTGACAATATGTCCAAAGTATGAGACACGAAGTTTGGCCATCTTCGCCTCCAAGGAGCACTCTGGCTGTACTTCTTTCAAAACGGACCTATTGGTTCTTTCAAAAGCCCATGGCACTTTCAATATTGTCCTCCAACACCATAACTCAAAAGCATCAATTCTTCTATGGTCTTCCTTATTCACTGTCCAGCTTTCGCATATGAGGTTATTAAAAATATTATGGCTTGGGTCAGGTGCACCTTAGTCCTCACGCTGACATCTTTGCTCTTCAACATTTTAAAAAGGTCTTTTGCAGCAGAGTTGCATAATGTAATACATTGTTTGCTTTCTTGACTGCTGCTTCCGTGAGTGTTGATAGTTGATCCAAGAAGAATGAAGTTCTTGACAACTTCAATTTTTCTCTGTTGATAAGAATGTTTATTGGTTCAGTGGTGAGGATTTTTGTTTTTTCTTACATTGAGATGTAATTCATACTGAAGGCTGTGCTCTTTGATCGCCATCAATAAATGTTTTAAGTCCTTTTCACTTTCCACAAGCAAGGTTGTATCATCGGCATATCACAGGTTGTTAATGAGTCTTCCTCCAATTCTGATGCCACGTTTTTCTTCATAGAACCCAGCATACAAGTTGAATAAGAATACAACCTTGTCGCATACTTTTCTTAATTTTAAAACATTCAGTGTTCCCATGTTCTGTTCCAACAACTGCCTCTTGGTCCATGTACAGATTCCCCATGAGCACAATTGTTCCAGAATACTCATACTTCGCAATGTTGTCTATAGCTTGTCATGATCCACACAATCAAAAGCCTTTGCATAGTCAATAAAGCACAGGTAAACATCTTTCGGATATTCTCTGCTTTCAGCAAAGATCCATCAGACATCAGCAATGATATCCCTCATTCCACGGCCTCTTCTGAATCCGGCTTGAACCTCTGGAAGTTCTCTGTCAACATATGCTTGCAGCCATTGCTGTATTACCTTTAGTAAAACTTTACTCGCATGGCATATCAAAGAAATTGTCCGATGATTTCCACATTTTATTGGGGCACCTCTCTTTGGAATGAGCACAAATACGGATATCTTCTAATCAGTCGGCCAGATAGTTGTCTTCCAAATTTCTTGGCAGAGATGAGTGAGTGCCTCCTGTGCCGCCTCACTTTCTTGAAAGATTTCAATTTTTATTCC